TAAAAATTATTGTCATTGTAAGTACAACTCAATTGAAATAAAAGGGAGTCATGCAGTCATGGAAAAATACAAATGCAAGAAGAGTAGGCGATACCTTTACAAACCATTTTTAAAAAATCATATAAACTGTGAGTTTTTTTGCATTGGGATAATCCACTTCTTCAGGCATGTAATAGTGTGCAGAACTTAAAAGTCCTAAAGTCCATAGCAAGGATGGATTTTGCTAGGAAAGTTACTCTTAGATGTAAAGTCCAAAAGGTATTCGCAGGATGGTTGATGCCGGGCCTGTCTTTCTTAGATGTAAATCAGGGAAGATGCAGGCTATGTTTGAGCAGTTGTTTTAAAATTGAGACAGCTGTGGACTGGATATCACACCAACTCTGATGAGCTACAGCAGATGATTCTGTTTCTGTGTTATGCATGTACATGTTTGTATGTTATGAGGAACTTTGAGAAACCATCTCTTTTCCCTAGCACAGTGCAACATTTTAAGCAGTCCACCAGCTTTACAATGGATCATAAAAGCAGAGAGGGGAATCTGCAGCGGGTGAGATCAAAGGAAGGAGGGCTAAGTAAGAGAAATGATGCTCAACTTTGGCAGGAAATTGCTGCTCATTAACCAAGTGCTGTTTGCGTTCTTAGCTATGTAGCCAACTGCATAACTGGACACATGCTCAGGAATGTAGTCCCCTCTTTATTAATGAGCAGCAATTTGCCACTAAAGCATACACCATTTCCCTTATACCAAAATCAATCAAGGCCACAGCATTCCAGCCAAAATATCTTAGATTCTTATGCTCACTTTGCAGTGCATTAATGGTACCTGGGTAACAGACTCTCGGGCACAACCTATAGACATCCATTTGAAACAAAACCTCATTAAATGCAATTGGTCTTACTTTTGAGTACACATACAAGATGGCACTGCACCTTTTAAAATGGATCGTCCACCACATTTTGAATAGTTTCCATTGGATAAAATGGTTTTCAAAATAGCAGTACTCACCATTCAATTTAGGACTTGGTGTTCCCAAAGCCGGCCGAGGATCTTTCACCAGTATTTTGGAACCAGCTATTAAAATACATGAGAAAATTGGATGCATTATATAAAATAAAGCTATGCCATTGTCATCATTCATTAATTCTGACATTTACAGCTGATTCTCATACATGAAAGGCAGATTCAAGGTTAGGCGACAAAGAACAATGTAATTAAAATCAACAATATATTTGCCAGTAGAATGTAATGCTATAGTATCCCCAGCAAGCTGGAAGCCATTCAGATGTAATGTCTTTTGCTACTAAATGGAAAGACCTAACCACGTATACATCCTGCTATCTGCTTCCCAGTTTTTCGTTTTTGTTTTTGCCTTGTTTTTGCTTATTGGGAAGCTTCTTCTCTAGGACTAATATCAGCTCTGGGGGAAAAAAAACATTGTTAGGAAACTTGCACTCACCAACCTCCTTTTGCTATAGCTATTTAACTTTTCCAGATATGCACACTCATCACCTACTTGGAATCAAACAGTTATCCCACTGTCCTAGCATATTACCAATTTAAAATTAATCAGACCAAAAGGATTAATTTAAAGTTTTCACAAAAAGTTTACCAGTACTTCAACAAAGTAATAAGAATGTGTAAGATTAAGGCATGGCAGATAATTCCTTACAGCAAAAAGATAATAAAACGTTGCATCTTACAGAAACTGATAAAATTTGAGTAAATAAAGATGACTATGATAACCCCTAAATAAAGACACAAATGTAATCGCCATGTAATGAAGAAAATATCTAAGAACACAGAATGAAATCTGTTAACAGATAAGAATTAAGTAGTGTTCAGCAACCTAAATGAGGTGCCTAATTGCAATTACAAGTTTCAGACATATTCTGCCATGCAATACGCCTATTTCTGAACTAAAACACACCCCTTTAAGGCAACTGCAGTGTACGTAGGAGGCATTTACTGCCTCAGAGACTCCGTGGCAGGCAAGAGTGACGCTCCAGTTACAACATTTCGGGAGCCAACTCTCACGAGATGCATTCATTTCATTAGGTTTTTCCCTCTTCCCTCTGAGATGGATCCTCATGAAGGGCTTAAGCACAGGGTTTCAACCATATCCTGCCATTGCTGGAAACAATATCTCCTTATTCCTGAACTAAACTCCCCAGCCCAATGCATATCCTGTACTGCCTTCCTTCTTATTCTTTCATGCAATTTTGTGGGAACTGCAAAGCCTCTGAGTGAAGCTTGAATGTTGAGAGAGATATAGGGTTAAGAGCTTCTGAAAAAAATACCACAGGATCTATGCTTCTACAAAGCAAAATCATTCTACTCCTTCCATATAGTGGGCTTCACAAATTTCAAGAATGAACTATATCTGTGATATCAAAAAGAAGTTCATGCACAGGAGACAGAGCAACTTCAATGCTGTTGCACGTATCTTTTCTATTGTGATTTCTTTTAAAACCTGGAGGACTATGAGACAGATGAAAGCAAACACAGTTCTTTATTCTTTTAAAGTCACCAGTGTGGTCATTTTTCCGTGATACTACTTTCATCAGCAGCAAGAAAGATCGGGGAAAACATGCCTTTTCTCCTAACAATGTTTCAAACTAAAAGTAACAGGCTTTTCAAAGTTTTTTTGGATGTCCCAAGTAGATCAAAAAGCATCGCTAGTTCGTCCAGAGACATACATTTTGGAAGCTAGCTCTTCTTCACACTGTTTTGTGCTCCTGAATGAGAGGACATGCCTACCATCTAGCCTCAAATGAATTTATTCTATAAATCTCAAATTTTAGAAGTTTTTAAAAATGTTATTTTAGACCGATGATTGTAGATATCACAGATTCAAAGTTCATTCACCTATAACACTCACTATATAAATTGAGACTCATTCATCTCTATCTCTTAACCCAACTTATCTCACCAGGATTTCACAATTATAAAATGAATGAAGTGAGGGTGGAGGCAGAGGCATGTTTGCTTCCCAGTAACAATGGGAGGGACATAACAGAACAGTTGTTATAAGGGAAGCTTCACCACGTGCTTTGCTAGAAGAAAACATATTACATTGAGATGATAATGCAAGACATAGGTAGTATCAATTGGGCCACACTGCATCAATAAGTAACACTTCTAAACATTCTTGGAACATGAAAGTACAAAGGCTGGTGCTATCATGTACACCTAAGCATTGCTTTCTAGGTTGAAGAGTATTTTAAGAAGTTTCTTACTGATGGCACTCACTTGTGCATATCTATGTGTAAGAAGATGCATATATGTATATACAGCTTTGGTAAACTGCTCGAATTAACAGAAATGCAATAAATTAAACCTGGTAACAAACTTGTATTGACTTCAAGGGACTCAAGATTTTAACAGATTTTAAACAATAAAACACTTCATACTTGAAATGGCCATAGTCATGACAGTTCTCTGAATTTGATTTATGCCAAGCTTGGCTTCAAAACTTGCTTTACACATCAAAATGGAGTTACGGGGGAAAAATCTGATACAATGCAGAATTCTGAAAATAGATTCATTCTATTTATCATGTGCAAATGGGATAAGTAGAGGGCTTTTGTATAAATTTGAGACAAGAGATGGGCATGAACCTCCGTGCCACGTGTTCCCTTCCTTCTTCACCCACTGAGACAAGCAGACAGGACAGGCTAACCCATTCTCCAGCTGAAGACTCATAAAACAACCAAACAGGAGGAAGAGAGGAGCACACTCTGACCGGTGAGTGGGTCATTGCCTGGGGAGGCAGGGGAAGAGAACCACCTCTCCTGTGATATCATGAATATGAACCGGCATGAACCTCCAAACCGAGGTTCATGTCCATCTCTATTTGAAACTTATTGTGGTTCATTCCCACTCATGTAAACTATTCATAATTTTGACATAATCCTGCTTTGTGTTGTCCCATTCCTGTCTTAACATCACTGGCTTGCAAGGGGTATGAAGATACAAAACATATTTCACATGCTGCATTGTGCTAGAAGATAAAAGAAAGAGTAAAAACTAATAGTATAATTTTCCAATGTTTACTTCCTATAAAGTTCTGTGCCTAGAAAGAAATCAAAGATGCAAGGAAATACCTTGACACATAGGAACCTTCCCTGTCCAAGTGCCGTCAGACCTACAGACTCGGTGTTCTGACCCTCCTGCTAAGAAGAACCCAGGCTGGCAGGTGTATATCAGGGTATAGCCAAGAGAGGGAAGATCCATTCCGGCAACATTTGTGTGAGCCGGAGATTCTGGTTGCTTGCAGCTGTGAGCTAAAAAGAAATTGTATTTCTTTATGCATATTTTTATATGACAAAATACACAGCACAATGATGCTAAAATCAAGACACCACCCATATCATATAGGAACAAGTAGGAAAACCCATATTAAAATTCATAGTTCAAGCCCCTGATAGCAAAACACAGCTCAACAAAATCCAAATTGCATAGCACATATTCTTCTCAGAAAGGTACCTAAGGGTGTTGATTCCCTCTTGGATGCACACTTTAATGTAGTGAGGAGCCTTGCATGTAGAAGGCAAAGCAATATTATTGTTAGGCTAGGCTCCTTCATGATTCTTGCCTTCTAGCAAGAACCTTGAAGGTTGAGAAACAAGACTAAGATGCATCCATCTCCCTAGGGAATTAATGTTTCCTTCAGCAGAAAAGAACTGATAATTCCAACAGTGATGGGGATGCAGAAATTCCTCAATGGTAATAGAAGGTCCCATCAGTGGATGACCTTTCAAAGACAATGACAGTGATCCTCAAGCTAACTTTTGTTAATGATTCATAAATAAGGCAACAGAAAATCACTTGAATGCTTTATTCCTCAAACACCCTATGGTGAAATAATCCACAATTAAACATGAGCTCATTCTGGAAGGTGAGATATCGAGTTCAGAAGGCACATGTTCAGCTATAAGGGAAGAGCAAAGGGGAAGTACAAATAGAACTGTTGCTAATGAAACAATTTAGTTTAAACCTAAAAGGACATGTCCAGAACTTGAACAGAAGGAACAGAATCTGACAGTACAGGAGAGAGAGAAAGATGGAGAAAGTAACTCAACTCCAGTGACCAGTTCAACTCCAGTGATCCATTGGACTAGTTAAGGTTGTGCATAAAGGTAAAGTCTGATGAAAATATTTTAAATCTTCAGCAAACAACAGGAATCCAAAAAGGAGACAGAAATATAGTCGAAATCTTAAAAGCAATTTTTGAATTAACTTCTACTTACAGAAAATGTGAATGATTATAATAAGCACGGCAAAGAAACAAAGGAGAATAACAAAGGACAAACAAGAGAGTTCTTCTAGAAGATCCAGGAAATAAAAGGGACATTTAAACCATGAACAGGAATGTCAGAAGGTCAAGAGAGGAAAAAGTTGACAGTACAGGATGATGTAAGAGGGCACTGCAAAAATATACACGCCAAAATCCTGTTCCTTAGTATAAATAACATTATAGGAGGTCTCACTGATTCAATAATCAATGAGGATTTGTTGAGTCAGCACCTCTATAAATTTCATTGTTTCAAATGGGCCTAATTTAACTGCAATTTACTTCAACATAGTAAACTGCAGCTAGAGTAGTCGCACTTGAATCAATAAAATGTGGAGTTGTTGACTCATTAAATCCCCATTGATTCAGTAGGTCTATTAGAGTGTAATTTACTATGCTAAGCAACAATATTTTGGCAACTGAAGAACTATACAAAAATGCAAGCATCACAGATCCTTTGAAGATGAATGCTTACATGTAAAACTTGCAGTTTTAAAAAATGTAGTGAAAGCTACTCTCAGACCAACTGGAGGAAATAAATCACTAAAAATTGATGGAATACCGGTAGGACTACATCAAGCTTCATAAACTGAACCCATCAAAATCCTAACAAGAATACATTAATAAACAATGAAAAGAAAACAATTGGTTGCACACTGGGAATATTTCTTAAATGTTCTAATTCTAAAGAAAGGAGTCACCAAAGAATGCAGTAAGTTTAGCACCTTTGCATTAATTTTCTGTAGAAGGAAAGTGATCCCTAAGATTTCAGAACAAAGAATTTTATCATATATGCAGTGAGATATCAAGCATTCAAGCGGGATTAAGAAAAGGAAGAGGTGCTAGAGACAATATTGCAAATAAACATTGGTTACTGGAATGTACCAAAGAATTTCAGAAGAAGATTAGCCTATGCTTTATAAATTACATTGAAGCCTTTGACCATGTGGATCATGCAAAAATATGAATCATTTTAAATAAATTTGCCTGCCACAACACACAACTGTCCTCGTGTGTCTGCTATACTCTGGATTCGAAAATATGAGATTGAGACCTATATGGAAAAATGGATTCAGATGAAGGAGTGACTGTTGATGGAAGAAAGATCAATAATGTAATTTAAGCAAATTACGTTGTGTCAGTCAAAGATGTGCAAAAGCAGGATTACAAGTGAATATTAAGATAACAAAAATCATGACTGCTGAAGAATTAAATAACTTTAATGCTGAAAAAGAAAAAAATAAAATTGCTAAAGGTTTTCCATATCTTGGTTCAACCATTAGTTGAAATGGAGACTGCAGCCAGGAAATAAGATGAAGACAGAGACATGGAAGTGTAGTTACGGCAGAGTTAGAAAGGATTTTAAATTGTAAGGATATATTGCTGGATACTATAAGACTAGAAGGGGAAAAGACTCATTTGAAATGTGCTGGAAAATAGCTTTACAAATGCCATTGACCACCAGAGACGAATGAATATGTTCTAGAGCAAATCAAGAGTAAATTCTCACTGGAAGATAATATAATTAAACATAGGCTAGCATACTTTGCATATATCATAATAATGCCTAGAAAAATGAATGGCAGTAGGAAAAGAAGATGAATTGATTCAATAAAGGAAGACCTGAAGAGGACTGTTAATTCCAGGACTTTTGGAAGGTCATTAATTCTCTGTAAGTGAGAAGTGCCTTGATGGTACATAAGCACAACAAGAGCAAGGGGACTGACACAAAATAAAGGGAGTTGAGCTCCCCAGCACATAGTTTGAGCATCGGCTATAACGTGCATCTAATGGATATCAAGTGATGGAAATTTATATTTGCATCAGTTTACATTTTACCCATAACTTACGTATGCATTCAGGCTGAATTCCACTCCACGTAAGATCAGGAAGGCAGGTGCGAGTTGTAGATCCTTGAAGAAGGTACCCTTTTTTGCAGTGAAATTGTAGAATATTCCCTACCTATGGAAACATATTGTGTATTGATTTGGTCAACATCAAATGAAAATAAATGAACCCATGCATTCAATTCCTATCTATTTTAAGGTGCTTTGCCTCTGGCAGATATTTCTGCAGTGCAAGAGACATTGTTCTCTCTTTCCCGCTTTTCTCTCTCTAGATAGTTAAGACTTTTCTTTTCTACTTATATCTAATATGCAACTCCATGACTCTAAAGAGTGAATAGTTTTCTCCTCCCCATCTGCCCTTCCTTTCTCCTTGCCATAAGGATACATCTTTCTCTTGCAATGCTTCTTACAAGATCAGAAACTCATGGTTTTATGAATATTACATGGAGAGTGGGGATTTGGAGAACAGGATGGATGCTAAAGGATTTTCATCCCACGGTAGATGCAAAACTCATGAAACCTTTACAAAGAAGGTTTCATGAGTGTACAGGAATCATATCCAGACCCTCATTAAAAATTAACTGATGAATTTAACTTTCACTGCAATGCTGTATATACCTACTCAAAGGTAAGTCCCATTTTTGTCCAAGAGAACCTAGTTTGGCCCTTTCTTATTGTCATTTTGCCAGCAGGCAAACCCTTTTTTATTCAAATGAATTTCTGCCCATGGATGGGATACTCTAAAAGGGTATTAATGAGTTGCTTCTTTGTTTTTCTCTACTTATGCGCCATTCCATTGCTTTAAAGCAAATTGTGTTTTAATATTATCTTTTGTTTGATTCTGTTTTATCCCGTTTCCCTGAAAATAAGACCTAACCTGAAAATAAGCCCTAGTATGATTTTTCAGGATGCTCATACTATAAGCTCTACCCCATGAATAAGCCCTACTTAAGTGAAACCCCACCCTCCACCATTGTGCAGCAACCAGAAGATGACATGACTGTATTTGAATAAGTGTAGATTATTGCAGATAAAAAATGAATAAAACATCACCTGAAATTAAGCCCTACTCCGTTTTTTGGAGCAAAATTTAATATAAGACCCTGTCTTATTTTCAGGGAAACATGGCAATATTAGTCCTTTTGTCTTTTTATCTCCATCTTATTTAATTTATCTTGTTCTGAACTGCTTTGCCCCAGTATTGGAGAAAGCAAAGAGAAAAAGAAACAAGTTTAGTGGGATTTATTTTAGTGAGTATAGGATTGCAGCTTCAGGATCATAGTTGCCACCTTGTAAGGAAAGGGCTGGAGGTTTCATAGTGAGAAGTACAGTAGAAGTGCAAAACAAATATCCAGATGTTAAATACAGAAAGCCCAATAAGCTTACAAGGGAGGATGCAAGATGAAATAATATTTAACACTGGCTGCTATCTCCAGGGCTACGCATTTCAAATCCACAATTTCCAGATTGAAATCAGGCTTTCTCAGAATTTAACACTGGCTGCTATCTCCAGGGCTATGCATTTCAAATCCACAACTTCCAGATTGAAAGCTTTCTCAGTGCACAGTGCTTGCCTGATGTCAACGCACAGGGCTGACTGATAAGAAGGATCCCAGCGACGTACGTTGTGTATCAAATTCTTAAACAAAGCACTATCTATCATAATGCCAGTCAATCCACACAATTTGCAAATTGTGTAATTTTGTGTGAAAATGAGGTGATTTTATGCAGGAGTTGGCGGAGGGCAAACACCATCCTTGCCAATGCAAGTATGCTATTTAAAGTCCCAGGAAGTGCCTCATTGTGCTCTCCCATGAGAAGAAAAATATTCCTGTTCCTCATCCTTGCCTACGAGGATGAGACAAATGAGGATTTACATCCCTTCTCTGGCAGGATAATTACAGGACTGAATAATGTCATTCACAGAACACCAGAGGTTTATTTATGGGCTTATCACCCACTAGTGACATATACCACTGTTTGCCAGTCAATATCCCTGCTGCATCTTCCATAGGACAAACAGGCCAGGTTGGACACAAATCTGATATAAAAAATGGCAATAAGAGAAAGCCAACAGAAAACACTTCTGCATCCAAGGAAACAGTAGCCCTCTTCAGGCATTATAACTAGTTTTTTTTCCAACTACAGTGGATGCTGTTCTGTCCCTTCAGCGCTGTCTGGAGTTTGTATTGCAATGGATGCAGGAAAACGGGCTGAGGCTGAACCCAGACAAGATGGAGGTCCTGAAGGTGGGTGGACCCACTGTCAGCAGTTTGGGAAATTCCCTCTCTTTTGGTGGGGTGACTCCCACTGCGAAGAATGAGGTTCACAGCTTGGGGATACATCTGGACCTGGCACTCACCATGGAAACTCAGGTGGCGTCAGTGGTCCGTTCTGCATATTTCCATCTTTGGCAGATTGCCCAGCTGCGTCCCTATCTTGATGTTGGGGCGCTCACCACCTTGGTCCATGAATTTATATCTCGAGATTAGACCACTGTAATGTGCTCTACATAGGACTACCTTTGAGATTGATGCAGAAACTCCAAATGGTGCAGGATGCAGTGGCCAGACTTCTTAGTGGGGTTAGGAAACTTCAACATATCACTCCTACTCTGGCCGCATTGCACTGGCTGCCCATTCCGCATTGATTTCAAAGTTTTAATGATCACATACAAGGCCCTAAATGGTTTAGGACTGCGATACTTGACAGAATGCCTCCGCCTACCTAGATCTACTTGTATCACTCGATCTAGCCAGGAGGTTAGGTTGAGGAGCCTAACGTCGAGGGAGGCCCAGAAAGAAAAAACAAGACACTGGGCCTTCTCGGCAGTTGCTCCCAGTTTCTGGAACAAACTTCCCCCCATTTGGCTCCCTTGCTGGGCATTTTTAAAAACCAAGTCAAGACCTGGTTATATAGACAGGCCTTCCCTCCGGGCATTACTTAACTTACCTCTTCTTTTTCTCTATTTTTAACTATTGTCTATTGTATAAATGTTGAAACTTGTTAATATATATTAACTGTTTCTACTCTGTTTTGTGAGCCACCCAGAGTAGACTATGTCTAAATGGGTGGCATATAAGCTTAATAAACAAACTAACTAACTAATTAACTAACTAACTAACTAACTAACTAACATGCCAGAAGGAGAAAGGTCTACAGCCCTATCCATGGTTCTTGCCCATGGATAGGGGGTCTACAGCCCTATCCATGGTTCTTGCCCCTCTCCTTGTGTGGAAAGTGACAATGCAAGCTGTAGAGCCTTCTCTGTGCGTGGTGGCTCTCCATGTGATTCTGAAAACTGAAGAAAAAAAGAGAGACCCACATACAGGAGACTACCTGCTACCCATTCGCTCTCTTCATGACGAGGGTGCCACTGGAAGAGCAGGGCTAGTGCACTCTCACCTCCTCATGGCATTTCTTGTTGTAGTCCAAATGACTGAATAAGGGTTACATTCTAATATAGATGGAGGTTATTCTCAAATAAAGGATTCCAGAAAAAGGTTTCAACATGTACACAAGAATCCATCCAAAGTGGCAATTCTATTTCCTGTGCCTCTTTACTCACAATGGGGAAAAGGCCATAGTTTTTCATGGCACTTCATGTGTTAATCAGCTCATTAATGCAAGGATGTATTTTTTTTTAAATGTCCACTGTTATGGCAAATGCAACTGCTACAATGGGGAAAAGGCCATAGTTTTTCATGCCACTTCATGTGCTAATCAGCTCATTAATGCAAGGATTTTTTTAAAATGTCCACTGTTATGGCAAATGCAACCGCCTGTACTTTTTCCATTCAAATTCCACCTTACCCTGCTATTTATAATCTTCTCCCTTTGTGCCTCACAAAATGTGGTGGCCACCATGCCACCTGTCAAGAGATTGTGAAAAGGGGGGATCACAGACTCTGTTGTTCTTCTGGAAAATCAGGCTTGGTAGTTTGTGCCCAGTATGAGCTGGCCAAAAAGGAGGAATCTCCACTGGTAACTGGAAGGCAGTAACACCTGTGGTTAATCTCTGTGAGAAAGAGAATTTCAAGGGCAGGATGAGCTCACACTTTGGTAGTGACTTAAGTAGAAGCTACTCTCTATGTGGTGGCGCTGTGGGTTAAACCACAGAAGCCTCTGTGCTGCAAAGTCAGAAGACCAGCAGTCGTAAGATCGAATCCACGTGATGAAGTGAGCTCCTGTCACTTGTCCCAGCTCTTGCCAACCTAGCATTTTGAAAGCATGTAAAAATGTGAGTAGATAAATAGGTACCACCTCAGTGGGAAAGTAACGACATTCCATGTCTAATCGCGCTGGCCACGTGACCACGGAAACCGTCTACGACAAACGCTGGTTCTATGGCTTGGAAACGGGGATGAGCACCGCCCCCTAGAGTTGGACATGACTGGACTAAATGTCAAGGGGAACCTTTACATTTACCTTACTCTCTTCTTCATGAATGTTTGGGGAAACTCAACACCTGATTGGCAGATCTTCTGGAAACTAGGACTAGTACGAAAATGGGGACAGAAATTACTTTGCTTGGCCTAGTTATCTCTTAATAGTAATAACTGCATGCCATTGCGTCAATTCTGATTTATCTCTTAGGAGAATGCTATGCTCATTTGCTGCTTGCTTTGTTTATGCTCTGAAACTATGCAGAAATTATGCCCTTATGTAAGTATTACCATAGGGTAGCTATCTTATTTTCTTGGGGGTTGGTTCTAAAATTGCTTTTGTCTCATCTTTTTGATTGCTTATTTTGTTCCACAGTCATTTGATTGTTCGTGTAACTGTTGGAACACTCAGAAGTAGTTTACTATTCTCTTCTTTTGGAGGCATTTTGGGACTGTGCAGCTTGAACAAGGCCATACAGGATGTGGCTCTTCTGGAATGCACAATGGGAAATTGAACTTCCAAACTCTGGCTCCACAATCAGGATACCTAAACCACTGAGCTATCCAGCACAGCACACTTTTCTGTACTAAACAAATTATTTTCTTATGCTAGAAATTATGTGCTTTTAAGAAGCATTAAATTCACAGAAAAAGATGGATTTTGACGTTGTTCCTTATCTCCATTCTTCATACAAGGCTTCACAAAATTAATCCATAAGCTAATACAAGG